TAAGGTGGCATGTATTCTTTACTTTGTCCCGTTGTTTGCGTATATCCTGAAACGCGATGTGTATGGTTTCCATCTCCCTGAGTGTTACCCAGAAAAATTTATAGCAAACTGAACGTCGTCTTTAACATCATATCCTTTACCTTTTTTCATTGCTGACCAATCCCAAAATTTATGCTTATGCCAACCTGCTTGAGATGTACTTAAATCTATGTAGTGACTGTGTGCAGGTAAATTTTCACCTGAAATCGTTTTACTTCCACCTGTTTCCTTTGAAGAGTTTGCACAATACAAAAACCTGTCGACTATTTGAGTCAAGTTCCAAAACCCAGAACTGTTTCTGGTCTGGTAGAGTTCATTGACGTATAAATAGAGCCTATAGGATATAATGTTTGAAGTATTTCTGTCTTTAATGTTTGAAGCTCTGTTTTGTCTGCTTTCTTGTCATATAAATCTTGAGCAGTGAATTTCATATTATGTTCATCCTTCATGACATAAACATCTTTACATCTAATGTTTTTCATCGTCGTTATGTCGTCATCCGATGTTAAACCTTGTGGAAAGTTAGGAGGTTTACAATATAATATATCCCCAGTTTCTTCAACCGTTCCTTCAATACTTTCTATAGCAACAGTTGTAAAACTTGTATGTGTATGGTTCTTGTCTGCTTTCTTTTCAAGGCTAACGTTTAAGTCTGTTATTTCAGAAGATGTATGTGTATGTCCAACGGCACTTTTACTGTTTAAGGTTTCTTGTAAGTTTGTAATATTTGCAATGGTATGTATATGAGTCTTTTTAGAATATTCGTTTTCAGCTCTTGTCACTTCACTTGACATTTTATTGTCAACATATGTTTTGTCTGCTAGTTCAGGATGAGTATGTTCTTTTGTTGCATAAGCATTGTTAGCTCTTTCTTCTTCTTTTGCTATTGCATCGTCTACATATTCTTTGTCAGCTTTGTTGTCAATATCTGCTTTCAAAAGAAGTTCATTTATAGGTTTCTCGTTTAAAGTTCCTTTTGTTGGATTTATACAGACAGTATTGTTCTTCTTGTCTTGAAACAGAAACTCATCTGTCATTGGGTTTATCGTCAGTTTTAAGTTTCCTTCTTTCAATGACTCAGATATCTTAGAATAGTTTGAAAAGTTTGTTGTGTTCTTATTTAGAGCTTGCATAATGAGTTGTCGGTTGTGTTGTATTTCTCTCATGGAAGCAATATCTTTCGACATTTTTATTCTAGATAAATATGCTTCCAATAGAAAAAGAAAATTCAAGAGTTGCTACAACTAAACCATTAGATGAACTTTTTTACTAATGTCGGTCAAAAGTTTGAGACAGAGACCGTAAAGCATGAAGGCTATCGTTTTGACTACCCATTAAGATGGTTAAGAGACCCATCCGTCACAAAAGCTATTGGCTTTCGTAGAATGAAGTTTGTGTCTGTAGAAGATAAAAGTTTTCCATTTATTGTAAAGTTTCATATAGATTATATATCTGAAGGGAAACGAAAAATGTGGGAAGAAATTGAGCTAATACAAGTTGACCTTTCATCTTCTCTACAGACTGCGTTAAAAAATATAGAAGATAAAATAAATTCATGTTATGCAAAATATGCTGATGAATATGCAAATACCGAGAGCACACTTTATGTGAGAATTGTATATGACAAACAAAATTCACAAGTGTCATTTCAAATCTACGAAAACAATCCAAATAAAGACGAACAAATATATACAGAATTCACTGCAATGTCATGGTATTATTTGCAAAGAATGTTAAATCAGAAAGTCAAACTTCCTTTAGCAAATATTTACAGTCGATATGCAAGAGATGAACCATATTTATTTAAAGATGTTTTCGACCCAGCTGCTATTATTGTTCATGCTTCATTTTCTGGCGCTCAAAACTCTTTCTTATGCTTGGCAAATGACTTTTACGAAAAACCTACAAAGTTATATGAACCGCCGAGTGGAAGTATTTCAGACTTTCAAGTATGGTTTACTACAGATGGAAGAAAAAGAATAATTCCATTATACCATGCGTTTTACTTAGAACTTAGTTTCATATACAACTACTATCGAACGGTAAAAATATAATTTTTTAGTACGGTTGAGGTGTTGGATTTGGTTGCCAACTTGACTGTGGTGCAGGTTCAGGCTGTTGTATAACAGGAGCTTGCTCTTCTGGTTCAGGGTCTTTAGGTATAATACCAACAAACTGACCTACTCTTTTACCAATATTTTTGACACCGTTCCAAATTCCTTTTCCGACAGATTTTATTCCATTCCATATACCTCTTCCAACTCTTCTGAAGAAGTTTCCAATACTACTGAAGAAACCCATTTTACTATATGTAAAAATCTAATGTCCACCTAGTCTCTTACGTTTCCTGTTGAGTTCCATAGCATTCTTTAACTGGAGCTCATACATTCTGTTTCTCCTCTGGTAGAAAACATATTCTGGGTCAACTCCTGTGTTCGCGTCATCTGCATAAAGTTGTTTATATCCCACTTCAGGGTTTGTATAAAACTCTTTCCATCTCATATTTGCATACCATGGTGGCAAACCTAACGCAGCGTCATTTGACATGGCAGTTTGCATTTGTACATCTGTTGGCACTTGACCATAGTTTGCCATTGCAGTTTGTATTCTAACTTCATTTGGAATATTCTCTGGGTTTGGTTGTCCAGGTTGCTGTGCATTCGCTAAGTTCTGTGCGTCCATTTAATATTAGATAAAAATATCTCTTACGAGTACATATACTGAACATTTGCAGGCATTGGTTCATCTTCATATTCTCTGTACTTTTCTGCCACGTCAAATAAATAAATGACACAATGGAAAAAACCTAAAACAAGTAGTCCTATTTCAAACCACATTTACTTACTAATAAAATTTCTTTATTGTGACACTTTCTCCAGTTTATAGGACCTCTCTCATATTCTATCTTGTCATATATAAACTCATAGTCATGTATGTCCTCTAACCATCTCATAACGGTTTCCAAACCACTTTTATCGGATGTAAAGTAAAAGCATGGATGGTTATGTATAACGTCTAAAGTTTCTAAAGAGTCTCTCAAAGTCCAGTCTACTTGGTATTGAAAATCCCATGTGTTATAGAACGGCGGGTCCACTATAAAGAAAACATTTTCCTTGTCTTTATATTTTTCATACAACTCTGTCCAATGACATCTCACAAACTCTATACCCTCAATATATTTTTCTATGTCCTCTTTGAAAACATTTGTATAGTTAAGATATAAAACTTTTGACATAAGTGTTTCAATGTCATGAACTCTTATAGAACCACTATATAATAGTCTAGCAGATATACTATCCCAGTCTATATATTCTGCTTTTTTCAAAACCTCTCTCACAATATTTTTCTTATCTAATGGTATACGTTCCATCTTACCTATAGGTATCTTTTCTTTTAACTCTTTCAATATATTGTTTGTGTCTGGAATATGTTTGAGACGGTCCATATAGTTGTCGAAGTCATTGCATATAATCTTTGAGTCTGGGAATATTATATGACATAAATGGGATATATAGAAACTTCCACCGAACAAATCTACAAATGTTAGACCATTCGGTAGTTTCTTAAGTTCTCTCAATATAATATCTTTACATCTACTCTTATTTCCAAAGAACGGTAACGGTGGTTTTGTAAAATTCATTTATATATAATAATAAAAATGTTTTTACCTGAAAAGTGACAGAAAAGTGACAAAACATGTACGATGAAGAAGTCTTGACAAAGCATATACGATGAAGAAGTCTTGAAAATAACTGAGGTGAGAAAACAGGTGAAAAAAGAGGTGAGATCTCACCACTTCACCTAAACATTATTTTTGGGTCCTTTACGCTCATTACGAAGAAGTCTTGACAAAGCATGTACGAAGAAGTCATGAAAATTCAAGAGACCCAAAGGGTCAGAGCCGCAAAGCGGCTAGGTTAGAAAAGAGGTTAGAAAAGAGGTTAGATCTAACCTTCTACCCTAAACATTATTTTTTGGTCCTTTACACTCATTACGAAGAAGTCTTGACAAAACATGTACGATGAAGAAGTCTTGACAAAACATTTACGAAGAAATCATGAAAATTCAAGAGGTGAGAAAACAGGTGAAAAAACGGGTGAGATCTCACCACTTCACCTAAAATATATTTTTGTCTGATTTACACTCATTACGAAGAAGTCTTGACAAAACATGAAAACATATATAATTTGTGAAAAGTGAAACAAAAAGTGTCACCGGCTGGGGTTCGGTCCTCCTCTTGGGTCTTGGGCAAAATTTCTTATGGGCTAGAGGGCGCAACGCGCCTGGAAGCCCTTCGAATAAAACTTCATTTATACTAAACATCTTCAGGGCTAGAAGGCACGAAGTGCCTGGAAGCCCCACTACCTTTTTTTTTTTTTTTTTTTTTTTGGTCCTCAAAATTTATCAAAAGAGGAGTTTCATTTTCATCTACATCAACTTCAACAAAGCTGAAATAAAATAAATTCTGAAAATAAATCAAAATTTGATTAACATATGATGGTGTAGGTTTTTGTGCTAATTTTTCAGCCATAAAGACAGTAAGAAGATTATGAATTACTATACATGTCGTGAAATATTTACAAATTACGGTTTTACTATTAAACCAAACGGACAAACACCTAAAGTTGTAGATGACGAAACAATTTTAGAAATACTTGCCGAAAAAGCAACAGCTAATGTAGGATATCATCGAATGAAAGATACATTAGAAGCAAAGCAAAAATGCATAAGTGACCGACAAGTTAAAAAAATTTATACGAGATTTTACTTATTTGATCTTAAAAAGGGTGAAAAAAAAGAAAATATACTTCAAGCCATATGTAGCGGAATATCCAAATCAGATTTGGCATACTGATTTGAAACAATTTTTAAATTCAGAAGGCAAAAAGAAGCAATTAATTGCTTTTCTGGACGATAGAACACGTTATGTAGTGTTTTGGAAAATTTTGGATGACAAAACTATGATATCAACATCTCAAGCTCTACAAGAAGCACTCGAAAGTACGGCAAATAAACCTCACATGATAGTGATGGATAACGGCAGGGAATTCACAGGAAAAGCGTTTAAAGATGTGCTAGATAAATTTGGAATCAAAAGTTGGCACACACAACCATACACACCGTGCCAAAATGGCAAGATAGAGCGGTCCTGGAAAACCATTTTCAAATCCAAAGTCGAAGGAGTTCCAATTGAGGAACAACTTGAATTTCTTTTCAAAAGATACAACGAAATGTGGCTAAACAGATTACTCAGCGTGTTATACGGCAAAAATACATGTCCAAAGCAAGCCTGGGATATAAACCAAAAAATCATTTTTGCCGAAGATTACTATGAGAAGTAAACATATATCGTATATAAATAATGTTTTTATTACATATAATTGAAAAAATTGAGTTTTGAGAAAAAATGATATTTTATTTGAGCTAAATTTTTGAGATATTGATAGTATGAGGTTTATTGAGGTAGTTAATGAATTTGAGATATAAATGAGTGTCTGAAAAGGAATGTGTGAAAAGTATGTGATGCAATTTCGGACTAATTATGAAACTTTAAAAAGGGAATGGAAGTGTAATAGGCATATATTTATAATATATATTTCTTATCCTTCCATTCCCTCTCTGACAGCGGGAAACTTTGTCTGAATGTTAAACTATTCAGACAAAGTTTCCCGCTGTTTGCGAAGGAATTGTTGGCTATGATGTACTGATTCATGAATCAGTACATCATAGCCAACAATTCCTTATACAAAGTTCAAAAACTTGGGTGCAATCAGAACTGATTGCACCCAAGTTTTTGAACTTTTCCGAGGGAATTAAAGGGTGAGAGATATATAGTCTATCTATATATCTCTCACCCTCTAATTTCCTCTTTTCCACAAAAAATATCATTTTAATAAATTATTTTAATTTTCAATCATTAATTTTATAATTTATTTATTTGTTTAATAATATAATTTTATTGTACACAATTAATTCTTATTCATATTTTTTTAATTTAAGGCTAAAGTTTCTGGCACTTCGTGTCAGAAACTTTAGCGGTCCACTATAACTTCTACTGTTTTTTATCCATAATATATACTATAAGTCTCTTTGGAATGATGAAAATATGAAATTTTTACCTTTTACCTGCAGTATGATATGCATATAGGATTTATTTAATAATAGTGTAGATAGTTATAGTACAATATGAGAATAATATGTGATATACTTATATATACTGAAAATCTGGATATGAGTTACTCTCTAGTATATTTTAACAGAAAATTTACTATAAAAATTATTTTTACTAATGGAATTATCTCAAATCATACAAGAACAAATCAAAAAATAGAAAATATCATTTATTCTGGATTGGTTAATCCCAACCAAATCATTTATCAATTAGATTATATTATTCAAAACTTAGAAAGTACAATTGAAAAAAAAAAAAAAAAAAAAAAAAAAAAAAAAAAAAAAGGCAGTGGGGCTTCCAGGCACTTCGTGCCCTCTAGCCCCGAAGATGTTTAGTATAAATGAAGTTCTTATATACGGGTCTTCCAGGAGCTTTTCACAAATTATATATGTTTTCATGTTTTGTCAAGACTTCTTCGTAAAATCAGACAAAAATAATGTTTAGGGTAGAAGGTTAGATATAACCTCTTTTCTAACCTCTTTTCTACCCTCTTGAATTTTCAAGACTTCTTCGTACATGTTTTGTCACTTTCTGTCACTTTTCAGGAAAAAACATTTTTATTATTATATATAAATGAATTTTACAAAACCACCGTTACCGTTCTTTGGAAATAAGAGTAGATGTAAAGATATTATATTGAGAGAACTTAAGAAACTACCGAATGGTCTAACATTTGTAGATTTGTTCGGTGGAAGTTTCTATATATCCCATTTGTGCCATATAATATTCCCAGACTCAAAGATTATATGCAATGACTTCGACAACTATATGGACCGTCTCAAACATATTCCAGACACAAACAAAATATTGAAAGAGTTAAAAGAAAAGATACCTATAGGTAAGATGGAACGTATACCATTAGATAAGAAAAATACTGTCAGAGAGGTTTTGAAAAAGGCAGAGTATATTGACTGGGATAGTATATCTGCTAGACTATTATATAGTGGTGCTATAAGAGTTCATGACATTGAAACACTTATGTCAAAAGTTTTATATCTTAACTATACAAATGTTTTCAAAGAGAACATAGAAAAATATATTGAGGGTATAGAGTTTGTGAGATGTCATTGGACAGAGTTGTATGAAAAATATAAAGACAAGGAAAATGTTTTCTTTATAGTGGACCCGCCGTTCTATAACACATGGGATTTTCAATACCAAGTAGACTGGACTTTGAGAGACTCTTTAGAAACTTTAGACGTTTTACATAACCATCCATGCTTTTACTTTACATCCGATAAAAGTGGTTTGGAAAGTGTCATGAGATGGTTAGAGGACATACATGACTATGAGTTTAGATACGATAAGATAGAATATGAGAGAGGTCCTATAAACTGGAGAAAGTGTCATAACAAAGAAATTTTACTAGTAAGTAAATGTGGTTTGAAATAGGACTACTTGTTTTAGGTTTTTTCCATTGTGTCATTTACTTATTTGACGTGGCAGAAAGATATAGAGAATATGAAGATGAACCAATGCCTGCAAATGTTCAGTATATGTACTCGTAAGAGATATTTTTATCTAATATTAAATGGACGCACAGAACTTAGCGAATGCACAGCAACCTGGACAACCAAACCCAGAGAATATTCCAAATGAAGTTAGAATACAAACTGCAATGGCAAACTATGGTCAAGTGCCAACAGATGTACAAATGCAAACTGCCATGTCAAATGACGCTGCGTTAGGTTTGCCACCATGGTATGCAAATATGAGATGGAAAGAGTTTTATACAAACCCCGAAGTGGGATATAAACAACTCTATGCAGATGACGCGAACACAGGAGTTGACCCAGAGTATGTTTTCTACCAGAGGAGAAATAGAATGTATGAGCTCCAGTTAAAGAATGCTATGGAACTCAGAAGGAAACGTAAGAGACTAGGTGGACATTAGATTTTTACATATAGTAAAATGGGTTTCTTCAGTAAGATAGGAAACTTCTTTCGAAATGTTGGAAGAGGTATATGGAATGGAATAAAAACCGTAGGAAGAGGAATTTGGAACGGAGTCAAAAATATTGGTAAAAGAGTAGGTCAGTTCGTTGGTATTATACCTAAAGACCCTGAACCAGAAGAACAAGCTCCTGTTATACAACAGCCTGAACCTGCACCACAGTCTAGTTGGCAACCAAATCCAACACCTCAACCGTATTAAAAAATTATATTTTTACCGTTCGATAGTAGTTGTATATGAAACTAAGTTCTAAGTAAAACGCATGGTATAATGGAATTATTCTTTTTCTTCCATCTGTAGTAAACCATACTTGAAAGTCTGAAATACTTCCACTTGGTGGTTCGTATAACTTTGTAGGTTTTTCGTAAAAGTCATTTGCCAAGCATAAGAAAGAGTTTTGAGCGCCAGAAAATGAAGCATGAACAATAATAGCAGCTGGGTCGAAAACATCTTTAAATAAATATGGTTCATCTCTCTTGCATATCGACTGTAAATATTTGCTAAAGGAAGTTTGACTTTCTGATTTAACATTCTTTGCAAATAATACCATGACATTGCAGTGAATTCTGTATATATTTGTTCGTCTTTCTTTGGATTGTCTTCGTAGATTTGAAATGACACTTGTGAATTTTGTTTGTCATATACAATTCTCACATAAAGTGTGCTCTCGGTATTTGCATATTCATCAGCATATTTTGCATAACATGAATTTATTTTATCTTCTATATTTTTTAACGCAGTCTGTAGAGAAGATGAAAGGTCAACTTGTATTAGCTCAATTTCTTCCCACATTTTTCGTTTCCCTTCAGATATATAATCTATATGAAACTTACAATAAATGGAAAACTTTTATCTTCTACAGACACAAACTTCATTCTACGAAAGCCAATAGCTTTTTGTGACAGATGGGTCTCTTAGCCATCTTAATGGGTAGTCAAAACGATAGCCTTCATGCTTTACGGTCTCTGTCTCAAACTTTTGACCGACATTAGTAAAAAGTTCATCTAATGGTTTAGTTGTAGCAACTCTTGAATTTTCTTTTTCTATTGGAAGCATATTTTATCTAGAATAAAAATGTCAAATGAAACAGCGTCTATGAGAGAAATACAACACAACCGACAACTCATTATGCAAGCTCTAAATAAGAACACAACAAACTTTTCAAACTATTCTAAGATATCTGAGTCATTGAAAGAAGGAAACTTAAAACTGACGATAAACCCAATGACAGACGAGTTTCTGTTTCAAGACAACAAGAACCATACTGTTTTGTATAAATCCAACAAAAAGAACTTTAAACGAGAAACCTATAGATGAACTTCTTTTGAAAGCAGATATTGACAACAAAGCTGACAAAGATAATGTCATTGAAAAAGTTCAAGAAGAACATGACAGAGCAGATGCAACATATGCAACAAAAGAGGATGTTGAAAAGAAAGCAGATAAAACATATGTTAACGATGAGTTAGAATGTGTGGCTAGTGCGTTAGTGAAGAAGGCAGATAAGGAATATGTGGATGAAAAAGACAATGAAATTAAAGAAAGGGTTGAATGGTATAATGAACGGACATCGAAGATTTTAAAAACGAAAGCTGATACAGGATGGGTTTCAGGGTGTTTAGACCTTAAAGCCGACAAAGAAACTGTAGATATGTTGGCACAACACGGTTTCAAGTCATACCAGAGGTTTAATGGAAGATGGACAACAGTTGAAAGAGCTTGAGAAAGGTGTTACAGAGTTAAGGAATACAAAAGCAGACTCGACATGGATAAAAGGATATGTAGATGCAACAAAAGAGTATATTTTCACATGGACAGAAGGAACATACCCACAAAAATATCATAGACATAGCATCTCTGACGTAAATGAACTTGAAGAAAAGTTATATAAGAAAGCAGACAAAACAGAGCTTCAAACATTAAAGACAGAAATACTTCAAACACTATATCCTATAGGTTCTATTTACACGTCAATGAACTCTACCAGACCAGAAGTAGTACTTGGTCTCGGAACTTGGACTCAAATAGTCGACAGGTTTTTGTATTGTGCAAACTCTTCAAAGGAAACAGGTGGAAGTAAAACGATTTCAGGTGAAAATTTACCTGCACACAGTCACTACATAGATTTAAGTACATCTCAAGCAGGTTGGCATAAGCATAGATATTGGGATTGGTCAGGAATGACAAAAGGTAAAGGATATGATGTTAAAGACGAGGTTAAGTTTGCTATAAATTGTTACTGGAGTGACACTCAGGGAGAAGGAAACCATACACATCGCGTTACAGGATATACGCAAACAACGGGACAAAGTAAAGACTACATGCCACCTTACATGACAGTTTACGCATGGTATAGAAATGCTTAGTCGTCATTTTCAACTTCTTTAGCATATTCGTCAGGAGTTGTCTTATATTTGTTAGGAACTGTCTTTGAAAGTATACCACCTTGAACTTTGACAAGTTTGAAACGAGGTCTGACAATAGTAGTTTTATCTTCTGCTTGCAGTCTGTACATTTTGCCATGTTTGCCTAAAACTTCATAATATTCTCTTGTATACTTTCTTCTATTTTTACGAACACGAATGTGAGTACCTGTCGGGTTCCCATTGTTGTCATAGTCAATAGTATTTTCATATGGGTCGCGTTTAGGTATTTCTATTTTTACTTTGTCACCTTTCTGAAGTTTGAAGCCTGGCATTCTTTCTTGTTTGTCTCTTTTGACTAAACTATTAAATATATAGTCTTTCTCTAAGTCGGGGTTGTTTTTCATTTCTTCGGGGGAGTGGTTTCCCAAACCTTTTTGTTTACGGCTATTGTAAATATTTAAAACTTGTCTCATCTTTGCCATGGAGAAATGTCTATATTTGTCGTCATATGACATTTCATTTGCTTCACCACCTTGTGGTTGGTTTAAGTCTCTTAAGATTTTTATACAACTGTCAATGACACCAAGAGCAGAATGGTTTTGGTCGACAATGAAATATTGGTTTACATTTTTTGAACGCAGATAGTTTTTAATATCGTCTGATTTGAAAGAACTTTCACAGTCAGATGTCAGTTTTGTTGGATGGTATTTGTCAACGAATATTGTCAAAGCAGTTTTCACATCTAAAATATTTTTGGACCATAATGGTATGGCTTCACAGTATCTTGTGTTTTGACCAACAAATATTAACCAGTATGGTGGTCCATCTTCTCTATACCTCGGAATGTTTTCCAAGATATCCATAAACCAAGCATTTGGTGTTGAACTAAAGATTTTTATCATGAGTGCTTTCTTTGTTGCCTTAGAAACATAGGGGTCCTTGTTTGGATTCGTCATTTTTTAACCCATAAGAAATGGGTTTATTTGGCGCATTAGCAGGAGTTGCATCCAGATTTTTGCCCGCAGTGGGAACAATAGCCAGAGGTGCATTTGGAATTGGAAGGAAGATTTTGAGTACATTAGGTATACTGAAAGAGAAAGCAACACCTATTATACAAACTGTACAGAAAGGTTGGGAGGTAGCACGAGATGCAGCAAATCTTATTCCAAATCCTGAAACAAGAGGAAAAGTTCAAGGATGGATGGACAATGTAGGAAGACAAGCAGGAAACTATTATAACAAAGCAAATGACTACTATAACCAAGCAGGACACTATATGGACCAAGGTGAAAGATTCTTTAACAGAGGATATAACCATGCACAACAGTGGGTAAACAATAACCAACCGCAACCACCTCAAACTTGGGGAATGTAAAGTTTTTTACTGAGATGAAATGAACAATACAGCATTGAGACAAATGGGTTCAAGATGGATTTGTCGGCTTCCAGTAGTTAAACCACCACGTGTTTGTCAAGTCCTCCCTATACCTCAAGAGTTTTAGACGGCGACTTAAAAAACCTAAACAACCAGTTGAAAACAAACCAAACTAAAATTTTTACTGAGATGAAATGACCGAAGAAGTCGAAACGGTAGATTTGACACCACAAACAAAAAGTTCAGAACCATTGTCAAAACCTGTCAAAGAACTTACAGATGAAGAGAAAAATTCAATAATAGAAAGTGCCAGGTCTGGAAATACAAACCCTAACTATAAGTCACTTTTCATAGAAATGGAACGGCTAGTATCTCAAAAAAGAAACAGACCCTCACAAATAAAATATTGAAGTCTGAAGGAGCTTTCGAGACAACAGATGGAAAAGTTTACTTCACTGACCAACAGTTCATTATAGAACATCTCATTGACTTAGAGTCGAAATATTCTAAACTTTACAACAAACACAAAAAGTTGAAAGGAAAAAAAAACAAATGGCATATGATATTTATGAAGATGTTGACGACACAACTGTTCCTGCAAGTGAAGTAAAGTCAGAGGAACCGAAAAGTGACGAAAAACCGATAGAAGAAGAAAAACCAAAAACTGAAGATAAACCAAAACCAAAGGTTAGTTTCCAAACTAAACCAAGTCAACCTTCATTAGCTGGTATGGGTTGCGTCAAAGACTTATGGCAGCAGGCGGTTATGTAAAGTAAAGAAAAAAACATTTTTTTATTTTTATAAAAATGCCCCGTATAGAATGGATAGAAGGTCTGCTAGAAAAAAGCAGAGTTAGAAAAGATATGGTTGGAGAGTTTCGAAGAATTTTAAATATAGGAAGGGAAGACCCATAAAAGTCTATGACAAATTGTCTGGTCTTCGCTACGAAATGGACTTAGAAACAGCACGTGCCAATTATCCAAACAGACTCGAGAGGTTAGAAGAAGAACGTCTTATGGACATGCCTTTCGATGTTAGTGAACCTCAAGTTGAAGGACACGACGGCTTTGCCAGATTCTACTGGAAACATGACGAACAATTGCATCCTTTGAGAAGGAAAAAAGGAAAAGGTGAAGACGCACATGCTCCCATGGAAAGAACAAGATATGCATATGGAAAGAACAAGATATGCATATGAAAAGTACCGTGAAGTTAGAAGTCAAATTACATCTGGTCGAACCTTTACAGTAAACTTTGACGAAGGAAAGAACAAAGAAGGCTTCATGGGTGTACTTGCTGCCATACAAGACGGAAATAAGAAAGGATACAATCTCAGACTAACCATAACAGATTTGGACGGTCACATTTACTATGCCCATGGCAATGTCACAACAGCCGCACAACTTCTTGACGCTTTCAAGACTACAAAGAGAGAACAAATGGTTGACTCCGACTCAGACATTTTGAATGCAATTGAAGGAATTGCAAGTGTAAAATTTGAATGGTACCAACCTAACCCTCAAGCAGTCAGACAACATGCTGGATACTTCCCCTTCATAAATAAGTCTGACATTGACTTGACAAGGTATGGAATTTACAATTCATTGAAACAATTGTCAATGAACCTTGTATTCTTACATGTCTCAGGAACTCTGGTCTTGTTTCAGAAGAGAAGATGAAGTATCTTGAGTCATGTGTGAAGACAAGGTACATGCTCAGAGGTCAATTGGCAAAAGTTGCACCGTTGGCAAATGTCAATATCCGAGTCAACATTCCGACTGAGAAAGGTTCTTCACATGACGACTATGTTGTTGACAAAGACTTACCATGGTTGAAGATTGTAATTGTCCACAACCACTTCATGTTGAACGAAAGTCTTATGTTCGGAAAAGGCAAGTGCAACATTGTCAGAGCTGTTAACATTCTTTTCGAGAAAGGTTTGTTGGAACCAATTCCAGATGACAAGCTGACAGAAACTTTTGTACCAAAAGACGAAACAAACTTTTCATTGTTAGCAAGACCAAAAGTTGTTCCAGACAAAGTTATAGCACAAAAGAAGTACACAGTTCCACGAGGAGTTGGATTGTTCGGATACCAACCTGAACCAGAAGAACTTCCAATGAGGTTGCAAGAACTTCAAGATGCTATAAACAAACTTCCATTGAGACATCCAATTGACGTCAAATTGTATTGGAGAGCATCTGAGTTAGGTCAGAAGGTTTTATATGAAACAGGTTGCTTCGACGATGTTTATGAGATAACAGGAGAAGTTTCTCAGAAGATAAGAGACTCACTTGAATTTCCACAAACTGGACCAATTGGTTGCGACAAGTTCGACTCATACGAAAAGATATACTATGTTGACCTTAACGCTGCGTACATGAGGTTCGTCCAATATATCCCGACTGGAATTCCAAACGAAGATGGTGAGTTCCTGGGAAGGAACTATACAGTTGGAAAAGTCATACAACAACTGTATGATATTAGGAAAGCTTCAAACCCCAAACTTGCAATGACACTCAAATTGCTTATGAATTCGACATGGGGATATTCCATTAAGAAACCTCAAGAGATGAAGAGTAAACATTATGAGAAGGTCGACAACTTTGTTGAAAGGTTTTCTCCTTTTGTTTTGAAGTACGAATTCACTCAAGGTCAAAGTGGCTTAGTAACCACATTAAAACCTATTGTCGAACATTGGTCCTATCCTCAGTTCGCAAAGGCAGTCCTTGACAACTACAACAAATTCTTCTCCGAAGTCAAATCCAAAGTTGTGGTTTACTATGAGAACATCGACGCACTCATGACGAACAAAGAAGGCTATAACAAACTCATTGAAATGGGTTTAGTCGGTGAAAGATGGGTCAATTCAAATTGGACAAAATTTTCACCGAAGTTCATGTCCTCTCCAAGCGTAAGTACTGGGCATACTTGAAGACGGCACAGAAATAAAACATTGCATGAAATAAAAAATTTTTATTTGAATTTGAATTTAAATGTGGGGAATTCTTGGTCTCAAACTCATATATAACCTGTTTGTTTGTATTTTCGTCGACTATGGCACGAGACACAAACATTGACCAAACGGACAAAAAGTGTCATTTCAGATGGTCACGCAGCCAATCGCATTCGAGCACTTCGAAGAAGCCTTACGTTCCAAGGGAGAGGGTGTCTGGTGCAAGGCAGAGGTCATGAGACTCTACGAGCAGTACATCCTCAATGCCTGGGAGGACAAATCGTCCTTGGATTGGCAATTCTACCAACTCCTCTGGGACGACCTCCTACGCAACTGGATGACGAAAGAGTCCAATTCAGAGGTCGGGAGCTAATTGTCCAAATTCTCATTAATTTAAGCTACTTAACTAAATAAACACCTAAATATTACTCGGGGTTTCCCCCTAAAATAAATTTTTTACTCTTAGAACCACTCGAGGTTCTCCTTACGGTTGTTGAGCTTGTCACCGTCAATGTGTCTGACCTTCGTCTTCTTGTCTGGATTTGGAACCCATTGAATTGCGACAAGCTTGCCCATGGAGATTGAACCGCGATTCCGAAGGTTAAGGTTCAAGTGTCCCAAGTTGTTGAGGACTGGGGTAAGAACCTTGCCTGTCTCCTTGTTGCGGATTTGGTATGGGTAGGGTTGGGAAATTTTCGTAAGCGTCATCGGCAACAAGGGTTGCCCAAACTTCCTCTTCTTCGTGTTTCTCTTCTTCCTCTTCTTCTTCGTGTTTCTCTTCTTCTTCGTGTTTCTCTTCTTCCTCGAAAATTCCTTCTTCAATTTTGGTACTCACGAATTACGGTGTTGGAGGTTCTGTCCTTTCCGAGTACCTTCCAGATGGCGTCTATCTCTTCGAAGAAACGGTAGATGAGTCTGCAAGGTCTCGGTTCTCTCTCGCGTAATGGCAAGGTTTCCGCGAAATCGTTCAGGACTTTCTCATTGGAAGCATGGCGTGAGGACATTGGCTTTAAGTCCCTTCATCTCTTCCATAAGACTACTTTGGAGAGTCTTAACGTGTTTGTCAGATGAGCTTTCAAATTCAAAATTTGAATTTGAACTGGGCGCTTGTCTGGCAACATTGAAAGGACATCTGCCATTGTGTTCGGCTTCGGTGCTTGTTCGGACATCGAAAAAATGAAGTGGTTTGAGAATGACGGTTTTACTTCAAAAAGCTTGTTATGACGGTTAAGTCATACAACAAGTTTAAAATAATATCTTGTTCTTCTTCTGAACGTTTGTTGTCTCTTCCGATAAAAGTTTCGAACATGAGAACCAAAAAACGTTTTTTGAGATTGCGGAAGAGTTCAGGCAAACGTTCATATTCTGGATATGTTGGGAGCAGTTCGAAACATCTGAGCTGACTTTCGGACAAAATTGGGACAATGTCAGAAAATTCATCTTTGGTCGGACTGCTTGAAGGTAAGTCCCTTACATGTAAGTAGCTCTGGTAAAGTCTTCTCATTTCTGCTAACTTTTGGAGTATAGCTTCGTAGTTTAGAAGTTTTAATTTTAATTGTCTTATTCCACTTTGACATCTAAACGGTAACTATCCATGAGGTCAAGAGTAGCTTTGGTAGCTTTAAGTGGAGCTATCTGTTCCTTGACTTGTGCAATTTTGGTTGCAATTGTGGTTTGAGCTCCTTCAAGTTCGCCGTCTATGTCGTTCTCAACACCTTCAACCATAGCTTGAAACTCTTCATCGGTCCATTGAGATTGGTGTGGGACGAATTTAACTTGCTTCATTCAAAAAATGAAAAAAATTTTTTACTCAAAACGTTAAGGTTGACTGAACTGGTTGGATGTCGCCTTCACAGGTTATGTAGAACGGCTGACCCGAGAAGTGAAGGAGAGACTGAATTGCCAATTTCATATGGGGTAGGGGTTCTCCTTGTTTGGTATTTTTATCCAAGGACGTTTGTTTAGGAACTTAACAAGAGCTTCTCTTTTGGCGTCCTTTATGCCATCGTAGGCTGTCCCGTCTGGTATTTGAATTGGAATTCCAGTCGAAGTCTCGAGCTGAAGTGTAGACCTTCCAGAAATAGTGGTGAACTTGACCTTGGGCTTCATTACCCTGCGCAAGTACTGCTTAACAACTTCATTTATCTCTATAAGGTAAATTGCCTCGTCAAATCCTTCTGGTATTCCGAGTCCTTCCATCCGACAGGAAAATATTTTCCCGACAACTGGAAAAAATTTTCCCGACGACAGGAAGGACTCTTCCAGTTGTCCGTCCGTAAACCATTCAAATTTTTCGAAAATTGAGAACTTTTGGTCGAACTTCAGAAAAAGTTTTTCCTTCCGACAGGAAAGGTTTTTTCTTCCAACAGGAAAGGTTTTTCCTTCCGACAGGAAAGGTTTTTCCTTCCGACGGTTAAGCCACAAACAGATGTCCGACGTACCACCAACCGAGCCCATTCCCAAACCAGAGGAACCTAAAGCACCAGCCCCTGCACCTCAGCAACCTCAGTTCCAGCAAGTCCCTCCACCAAATTACTACCAATTTCCACCTCAAGGTTACTACCTACCACAAGGCTTCCCGAACTACCCTCCTCCTCAGCCTATGCCTTACTTCCCCAACCCTTGGATGTTTATGCAAAACCCTGCCCCACAATTCCAATCTCAATCCAAGAGAGACCAAGAGTTCGAGGAAGGTCTGAACCGCTTACGCAAAGAGTATGCTACTACCCCAATGGAAGAAGACAGGCTTTCAGTCTCTTCCCTCAAATCGACCGATTCGACTCGTACCACAGATTCGGTTCGTGACCGTGAAGACTACCTCAAGCAGTCTGAGAGACTCTTCATCCTACAACCATTTACAGTTGGAGCTCTCAAGAACATGCGCAATTACGAAGGTCAGACACCAGCTGGAGACCGTAAAACAGACGTACTCGCAAGAGCAGCATCCAACTGGTCAAGACAAAGACCGAGATAGTCGACTTCATTCTTGCAGCTTGCCCATACAAGTAAAAAAATAAACAATTACGAGTTAAACTTTTTATTCTTTCTTTTCTGAGTTGTTTAGAGCTGGTTTCTCTTGTAGGAACCTTTCGTACTCTTCCATGGTCATGTAATTGCGAATTTTGTACGCAATTCCAGGTTCGTTGTTTTTGAACCTTATGTATGTAACGCTTCCATCCTCCTCAGGGAAGTAAGCTGCTAACATCTGACCAAGTTTTCTCGGTGACTCGGAGCTCATTAAAAATGTCACTTTTTTAAATGTTAAGTTTTTAGTCTTATTTTACCCTTTGTTTACCCTTTGTTTGTCAAGGTAGTATTGGAGTGCAATTTCTCCAAATTCTCTGTGTCGGAGTTCTTCAGCATTTTCCAAGGTGTACCTGGAGAACTCAAAGAAGTTGTCAAGAAGATACTGCCATGCTGCTCTTCTGAGTTCGTCGGTATTTTGGAAGTGTTGCACCTTCGAGTCTTCGGACATGAAAAAATGACACTTTTTTTATTTAAACCGTTTTGGCATTTCTCATTGAGTGAGTATAGTTCTGCCGAACCATTGGAAGAGAAGAAGTACCCTTGCTGGCAAAAGACAAAAATAGTTGCCTTAGTTGTCATTGCAATTGTACTCGTAATTGAATTCATTGTACTTCTCTTCACGTACATAAACTCAGCCAATGGTATTTGCTTTAAGAAGCTACCATCTTACTAAGACTAAAACACTTACATTTTTCAAGCTTGATTTTTTACAATTTGAATTTTACACCAAAAAATAATGTTTATGTTAGAATGTTAGATCTAACATGTTTTCTAACACGTTTTCTAACATGGTCTAAAACTCTTGAATTTTCATGAATTTTACACCAAAAATATAATTTATGTTAGAATGTTAGATCTAACATGTTTTCTAACACGTTTCTAACATGGTCTAAAACTCTCGAAAATCATGAATTTTCCCGAAATAAAAAATAAAGTTGGTTTTTTTAAAAAAATATTTTTTATTTTTATTGTAAGAACATGTTAGCAACAACAGCACCAAACTCGTTAGTCATGAACCCAACTTCAATGTTAGTAGAGATGAAAAGCTTCATTCCTTCTTCATATACTTTCGAAACAAAAATCCAGAAGATAAAGCAAGAACTTTTAACAAGTAATTTAGACTGTAGTGCGAAAGATGAAACAAATGAACAGTATCTTTATGAAATGCAGGATATTATTGACCATTTACCTAAACTTCCTGAAATCCAACAACAAAAACTCACTATTCCAGAATTCGATGAAATAGAAGTCGGACTGACTGACTCAGTAGAAATAAAGAAGTTCATACGAAAGGTAAATTATGAATTCCTTGGTTTTCATTGCAACCATAAGGTTATGGACAAAGATTGCGACATGGTATATAAGAACATCTCTGACCTTTACAAATCCGAAGAATTTAAGACCTACGACAACTTTGTTTCATTAGTTGCAAAATGTGTTTGGGAAATAAGAGATAAAGATAGTAGGGGTAAGGTATGGAACGAACAAATAAAACCCGCTATGTTCGAGATGAAGAAAACCATTGACGCCTTAGTTGTTTTAGCAGGTAAGGTTTCAGAATATAATGCAAAAATGAACCCACAATGTTCTAAATGTAAAGCAGCAATGAGGAAATATAACTACTCCGTCAAAGAGATAGAACGTATGCGAAACGACTATGCAGATTTAAAGAAAGAAGCAGAGAAACCAGCAGAAGATAAAATGGACATGTTGACATTTCTAAACAAAAACTATCCAACAGCTGACGATTTCCTATTATCTGACGTCAAGAAGAAGTATAAAGAAACCTTCGGCATAGTTAAAACATTCGATGTACTAAAAGAAGAAATTGAAGCCACGAAATTGTTTAGAGTCATGAACCATCGCAACATATACCATGTAAAACGCTTGTAAATAGTTATGTTAGAAAACATGTTAGAAAACATGTTAGATCTAACATTCTAACATAAACATTATTTTTGCTGACTTTTTACAATTTGAACTTTGTTCGCGTAGATGTGAATTCTGAAAGAAGTATGAGGGTCTTGTATGACTTTGTACTTCTCCCATAGTTCATGTCTGTCAAACTTACCTGCCATGGACTCTTTCATAAGTTCCATGAAATCGTCTTCGGACAATCCGGGGAAAAGTATGATATCAGTAAGTATTCTCTTTACATCCTTACTTAAACTCTTTGCTGTCTGTACACAAATGACAACTGAGATGTTAAAGTGTCTGAGCTTCTTAAGAATTCGACACATATCTTGTTCTCTATTCTTAAGCAAAGGATGAGAAGCAAAGTCATCTAAGATAAGAAGACATCTATGAGGGTAAGTCTTCCAATCGTAAGATTGCAATTTCTTCGAAATGTATTCTATCTCTTTCTGTTTGTTTCTGAAGTGTTTCTTCTCTAATATTCTTTGCATTTCCTCATTTGGGTCTTTAAACTTAGAATTTATATACTCATTTATAGCATTATACTTCAAAACTCTTCTTTGGTACTTCTTTATCCAATCTAACAACTCAGTATCCTTTATACATACTAACTTAGACTTCTTTATAATATCTTTGAACGAATTGACGGTTTGGTCAAATTGACCAGAAGTACTACAAATAACAACTAACTCATAGAATGGGTTCTTCTCATCTAGTTCTTGTTGTTGTGCAGCCATTTTAAGATAAGTGAAAGTCTTACCCGACCCAGGTGGTGCAATTAGACCTGTTATACCATTCTGAGCAAATAAGAACTTGTCATGTATAGGTTTTATCTGAGCATTTTCTAACTTCCTCTTGTTCTTGTTTAAAACATTCTCAAATTTTTTGTCAATGTCAGCAAACTTTTTTTCTAACATATTTTTAGAAAAATTAAAATTTTTATCTTTTTGAAAATGTCTAGCGATTTCGCTATCTATATTCGAGACAAACTTTTCGACAGCAAAACATCTGTAGACCATAAAATCTTACATAGTGTAAACAAGAAAGGGGAATTTGTTCTAAAGTTCTGTTTCTGGGAATATGACAAGAACCATAAAACATTAAGCAGAGAAGTCTTTAAGTTTGTCAATGACAGACTTGTTGACAGAGATGACGCCGATTGGAAAGCTGAAGTCCAACAAAAGTTCTTAGAATGCAAAGAAGACACATGCGCTGTTCTTGAAGATGAAATAGAAAACAGAATAGAAGAGCTATTAAAGGACAAAGAACTTTTACAAAATATGGTTCTGAGAAGTTTGACATAACTCCACCAGAGAAGAAGAAGAAGAGAGAAAAGAAAGAAAAGAAAGTAGAAGAAGAGAAGAAAGAACCTGAACCAGTTCCAGAGAAGGTGAGATATGACATGTAAAAATAAAATTTTATTTTTAGAACATTTCTGGGTCAATGTCAATGTTCTCTTCCTCTTTAGGAGCAAACACTGGCTTAGACTCTAAAATCTTTTTACCCAATTTACCTTGAACTTCAACTATCTTAGACTCATAATATTCATAGTCGTCTGCTTTCTTTGGTTCATAAGGTATAACAAGTTTGTATGCTTTGCCTTCTTTAAGGTTTGAGAACTTTCTGTCAAAATTTTCTTTGACTGCTAACAAACCTTCTATGTCTAAGTCTTCAAATTGCACCATTTTTAGTCACAATAGCAAACTTAACTGGTTCGATGTTCCAAACTTTGCTGAATGAAGACTTTTCAAAATGGTAGAAGTAAACATTCAAATATGCGAATGGGTCTAGTTCTTCTTTAAGTCCTGACATGTACTTATTTACTGAGATGAATTTTGTCATCTTTTCTATCGGATAAAAAAATATTTTTTTAAAATTTACTCAGAAAAATTTTTCTTTGTATATACGCCGTTCTGAACATCTAAAAGATTTTTGACATTTGCCAAGAATGTTCGTTTAGACGCTGCCATATAACCATATTCTTGACAATATTGTTTATATTCATCGTACAATGACCTTTCATCTAAACACTCAAAGTCGTTTTCATCTATAAACAGTTCATAAACACTCTTGTTTGCTTCTAACAATGTTTGTCTCTCTTCGGTATATGGAATTTGTCTTGGATTGAACTTTGAAATATCTAATGTCATGAAATATGAGAACAAGTGGTTGTAAAAGTCAGATGTCAAAGTTTCTGACAAAGCGTCAAAATATTCTGTATCTTGCATATGAGAATCTGACGTTCTGACAACTACATATCTTCTGTCAGAACTTTCTAACTTCATCGGAACAACATTGTTTGAAACCATGAGAAGTTTGCAACATTTTCACAAACTCTTTGGTCTTTATATTTTCTTTCAACAACTCCAACTTTGTCTGTTATAAGACTCTTCAAAGCATCTGAGTTTAAAACTTTGTTGTATCTATACTTTGAAGTTCGTTACATACTATAAGTTTCATATTCTCTATTGAGGAGTTAAATTTACCGCAGATGTTTTCTAAGTTTGTCATATTCGGGTTCGAATAGCCCTCTAACAGTTTGCATAAGATATCTGTAAAGAATGTGTTCTTACCAGTTCCTTGTTTCCAATTATAATGAGAGCAGTTTCATTTTTAGCACTTGGATGTTGTAAGATGTTTGCAAACCAACATAAGATATACTCATAGACTCTTTCGTTTCCATTGCATATAATTTCTTTGACATGGTCTAACCAAGCTTCTATAATATTTTCTTTCCATTCTACTTGTTCATATTTATATCCAGTGAAGATAGAATAGAAGTTTGGAGAAGGTGTATAAACTTTATACCTCGAACTGAAAAATCTTCTAACTTTGACAATAAGATATCCCAAGCATCTAACATCTTCATGCCAACTTGTACGACTTTTATTTTCTTAAGTTTCTGTCTACATTCTTGTTCAGACACTATTGTTGCTCTTGGTTTGTTAAAGACAACATCCCATTCTTTCATAACATAACATTCTGGGGCAGAGTCGACATAAATGACTAAACGTTTCAAATTCTCGACTGCTTTGTTATAGTCTCTAAATGGACACATATTTCTGAATGCTTGGAAGTCATAAAAATCTGAAACATCTATTCTGTACATTTTTATAAAAAAAAAAAAATATTTTTTTTATTCTTGACTTTGTTGTTCCATTTGTTGCATTTGTTGTTCTTGAGCTATTTGTTGTTGAAGTTGTTCTTGTAGTACAATACTTTCACCAGTTGCATCTTCCAATTCGAAACTTTCTGCCGTCATTGACAAATACATAGGACATAAAAGTTTTACAGGAACAAAGTTTGCGTCAACTAAGGTTAAGTTTATGTTTGCTAAAGTGTTTGAGTTTACTAAAGCTGAAAACTCTGCATTCGAATGAACAATAGGCAAACCAGCAGAGAAAGTGTTGTTTATACGCATAAGTATCTTTTGGTCATAGTAGTTTCTGTCGACATTCGAATAACACTTTGAACCTAAGTTTGAAACAATATATAAAATAGGTGTACTTAAAGTCAATGGAACAGACAAACCTTGTATGACACCTTTTCCTGTTATAGGAAACTGTTGGTAGTAAAAACCAGATATAAGTTTTGTATTATAGCTCATATCGTTTATAGTAAACTCAGTCGGACATCCAAACATAATGAAACCTGCTCTAGTTGCAGCACATGTTACATCCGTCCTTAAAGTATTAAATAAGTCAACAAAACCTGTTGGTGGTATATCTGAGTAAGTATCTTCAAAGAAGTATTTTTTACCATTCACAACAACAAAGTCTTCTGGTGTCAAAAGAGCAAAACAGGCTTTAGTCGTCATTGTGTTTAAGGTTAGTTTACAATATCGTCCTTGAGGACTTTGTAAGTTTGTTGTTATAGAATTATATGACTCAGGGTTTTTAGTCGTAATAGTATAAACCACTATGTCTTCTGCCATTTACATATATTTAAAAGTTTTTCTGAAAGTGGAGAAGAACTTCATCTAAACTTTCACATGGCGTTTCTTGAAGTTCTCTGTCTAAGAAGTTCAAATATTTTGTAAAGACATAGAACTTTCCTTTGTCTACACGAACAAACAAAACAGGGTCTTTCATATCATTCAAAAGTGTGTAAAGTCCTTTACATGAAATAAAGTCTATATTATTTTTCTTCAAACATCTTTCAAGAAGTTTTGACATTTTTACTTAGCAAGTAAAAATTTTAATGAAATGTTGTGGTCGTCAAATATTTTTATGACGTCTGGGAAACTATATTTTAAGTTCAACGTTTCACCTCCTTTCATAACGTATATCTTGTCAATGACATTATATGAAACACCACAGCAAGCAATGTCGGGTTCTATTTCTTTGATGTTTATATCGTCTGCCTCTGTCAAAAGTTTCAATAGTTCTTTCAAAATTTCATGAGGTGCGATGACATATGAGTTCACTTTTACAGGGTTGTGTTCGACCAAGTTTAACATTATACCCAAAGCTTGACAAATCTTCTCCTGAGTTTTAAGTTTGTCTTTAAGTTGTTGGTAGTCGTTTCGAATATCTGCAACAGAACTTAAGTCTCTGCTAACTTCAGGGTATGTTGGTTGTTCTTTTACAGGAACTATTGTTATACCATCTTCGTCTTCGTATGGTTTCCCCACTTCAACATCTCTTTCTTTGACATTGACAACAACACTTTGACTGTTTGTTTGAGTTGGTGAATTTAACTTCACATCTGCCACCGCCATTAAACCTTTTGAAACACTCGCTTCTATTTTTCGGAAATGACATTTTACTTAGAATAAAAAGATGGACGTATTTGAGTATCTCTTCGAATTGAAGCAGAACAAAGTTTACACACACAAACAATACAAATACATTGACAGAATAGTTCTTTATACAAACAATGGAAAATGTTATAGAATAGCAGTCTTTGCTGAACCAAAATATTTTCATAAAGCAAAGAAAGTTGGTATAACTGAAATGGTGAAAGTTCTTGAAGCAGACAAAAATATAACAACAAAACTTACAGATATTTCTAAAGGAAGTTTATAATACAATTTATGTCAAAACTGGCGTACTGTCAATATTTGACGGAGAGAAGTCAGTTCAAGAACAACTTACTGACCTGCTGCCAAAATCTGCTCGATGGAAGCTGTCGTTATGCCAATCTGAGGAGCCCCAGCAGGTTTCATCGAACGAATCTTCAAAAGAGCATCTTCCGTGAAAAGTGCTATTGGTTTTGTAAACTTCTTTGCTCTCAATTCATCTGGACCGTCTCTGTCACCAGTATATTGTATTTGTACAGTACCAACAGTTGAAATACCACCCATAAAGTCTTCTGAGTCAGCAAATGGAATGCCAAGCCAAAAGTTTGAACGGTCTCCATTTGTATATTGAGTTTTTTGACCTCCTGTATGAGTCCATACTTTCACATATGGCATAATAGAACTTTGCATTTCAGGGTTAATGGTTGTTGTGAAGTTGTTGTTAAAGTTCATAGCATCTAATGTCAAGTTGTATGACCTCATATCCTCAACTGTAGAATATTCTTCTCTTGGATAATATTTGCCATCTATGTTTATATGATATTTAATACCAGGGTTGTAGAAACAAGAATAGTCATTTATAGTTCGTCTGAACAGTACAAACATAGTATCTGCATGTTTCATTGCAGTTGTTAAAGCAATATCTGTTCTTGCACCTGGGTCAGCACTTTGGTTTCCAACTTCACCTGCAAAGTCTTTGACAGATATTTGGTGTATAGGGAACATAAGTGGAACTGCAATATATTTGGCAGCTAAAGCATTTGAAATATCTGGGTCCAACATATAGACTGCAAGTCTGCTTTCTATTCTCTTGCATTCAAATTTTCGCATGTGAACTTAACTGGGTCCCAAGCAGTTCCAGCAGCATTGAAATAATAGTTTACTTCAGTGTTGAGTTTGAGAAACCAAAGTCTAAGTCAACTTTGTCTTTGCAAAAGTCGGCGAATGACGTTTTATTTGTTCCCTCTACGTCTGTAAGTGAATGGGTCTTGTGTTGGTGCAATGACTAAGTTATTTTTGCTTGGAGTAAGTTCGATAGAAATTTTTCCTGCCCAGTTTGGCAAGTATCTTAAAAACCTGAAGATGAGGAAAGATGACAAAGGAACTCTAAGTTTCAGTTTTACTTTGTGACTGCTTTCCATTTGTCCAGAAAGGTTAACATAAACTCCTGGAACGTTAGGGTCAAGTCTTCTTATTTTCTCAATAGTTGCATACTGGTCTGTTTGTTCTCTAGCTTGTGGTTGTACTGAGTTTCTCAAAGCGAACCATTCATAGTTTGCCCATGTTACTGTTTGAACTAAGTCAGAGTTAGAATATATCTTATATCCCATGAAAACTTCTGGAGCATATTGGTATCCGACATAGAAAATTCCATTGCAACCTTTCTTGTCAGACAACTTGGCAGAAGGTTTTATTTCAATGTCTTGTTCCACGTATAAGAAAGAGTTGTCAATAGAAATTATATGAAACCTGTCGCAAGCAATATCTACTGTTGTTGAAGAACCTTCTCCAAACTCACCTACGTTTCCATAAGAAACAGCAGTTGTATATTCGTAAGTTCCAGGAACTATTTCTGACCTTCTAATGGCATTGTCGCATTCGTTATACCATTCGGAAACATTTCCATTCATAGCATCCAAAACTGTTGGCGTTATATTCTGAGCGGCGTACATTTCATATGAGTAAAAATATAGAATAGTTGGATTTATATGTCATAATAGAACCCACGTGGACCAAGCTTTACTTTCTTCCTGACTGAGTTTTTAACTCTTCTTTTTCCTTCATTGCCCTCTGCTTGAAGTTGTTGCATCTTTGCCTCATGTTCACTAGTATGTTGTAAATTTCCATGTCCTTTTTGCCTTTGGCTCTGGTCGCCCATCTCAGGTAACCTATATCCTAGAAAGAGTTTGTCATAGTCTGTATTTGAGTCTTCGCGTATTGTTTGCATGACTCTTTCCTGAGTTTCTGGTTCAAGCTCTTCAAACAGTGCCTGTCCATATGGAATAAGCTCGTTTCCAAATATATGTTTTTGTAGCCATTCTGGTTTTCTTTCCATGTTACCAACTATATCTTTTGTGAATGGGAAAGCTTTTACCCAATCTTTCAGTCTTGCGTCGTTTATTTCTGTAGTTGGTTTTATTTTGTCAAGGAACATGTTTTTCAATACTAACATTTCATTTGGTACTGTCCATTTGAGTTTTCTTAAATATTCATCCCTTCTCGTTCATTGTCTGCAAAGTAAGTTTTTATGACATTTTGTAAACTTTCGTTTGCAAGGTCATGTACAATAGGTTCTCTTCCTTCTCTCTCCCTAACTTTCTTTCTAAACTCTTCACCAAATATACCATCTCTATGGTTCTGTGTAGTTCTTTGAGATAAATGTTCTAGAACGTCAGGTGTTATATTTCCATCAGCCATGTTCATTTCATACTGGTCCAAAATATCTGCATGTTTCATATCTTTCAATGGCATTAAAGCCGCGCTTAAAATACCAGCTATATCTGGTTCACCATTGACTTCCATTGCGTCTACAACTTCTTGGAATTGTGGTTGTAAGTTTATGAACCACCTATCTGGATTAGCTTTATGACCCCATCTCATTGTAGTTCCATCGTCTGCAGAAACAAAAGTAGGTTTGTTTCCATATTGGTTAGGTTCTGAATGAACTTTAAACAATGTTTCATTTCTATATGTTTTCTTGAAATTTAACCTTTTATTTTCACCGAGTTCATCCGAAGATTGAACGTTAAATGCTCGTAAGTAAAAAGGGTTGTTGTATTTGTGTACATTTTTTTTCAGTTCTTCCATTCTATGCTGAATTTTTCATCTGATGTTGGAGTCTTTTGTATGTCGGCAAACATTTTTCGATATTCTTCTACTATGTCAGCCGAATTTTTTTTAGACTCTTGGAAATATTCCATATTCTCCGCATACTCTTGTTGAGGGTCAAGATTTTTCGGCTGTTCCAAATCTTCATCTAGTTCTGTGAAGTTAGTTTCCAAAGGAGGACTTGTTCGTTTCCTTCAGGCTCTTCTAGCTGTTGTTGCTGAACTATTTCTTCCATGTCTGGTTGTATCTGAACTTCTTCCTGTGGAGTTTCTTGTACCTCATCTGCTGGCATTTCATATATTCCGAGACCGTTTTTAACAAGTTCCCTATTAAGTCATCCGCATTCATAAGCTTTCTTCTTTCGTTCCGTCTCTATTTTTTACGCGTTTCATGAAGAAGTTGAATCATCATTTATCTGACATAAATATCTCGGAGTAAATTCAGTCATGTCATTTGGATGATATGCTATTAAATCATATCCCTTAGCGAGCTTGTATTTTCCAGGTTTGAAATTATATCCGATTTTGCTGAGCCATAAAGCTAAATAGGTTCGGGTCAGTATTTTTCCTTGAACTTTCTAATAGCTTCTTTATATCTGTCACTAAAGTCAATAGTATCTGGGTAACCATATTTTTCCTTTAGCATTTTTAAGAATTCTTGGTTTCCTTGTTCTCTACTTCTTTTATGTCCTTGCTCTGTTTGTGGTTGTGGTGCAGTGTTTTGAACTGTTGGTTGTGGTGCAGTGTTTTGAACTGTTGGTTGTTGTTGTGGTGCTGGATTTTGAACTGTTGGTTGTTGTGTTGGTTTTGGTGCATGCCTGTGTCTGTGTCCATGTGACGATGTAAATGTTTTAGGTAGTCCTGGTGCAGGTGCTTCTCTTGGAGGGTTTGGTGGTATATAAGTTCCACTAGCTAGTATATAAGTTCCACCAGCTGGTATATAAGTTCCACCAGCTGGCACATATGTTCCATCTGCAGCGTAATGTCCTACCTGACTTTTCGTTTTTAAGAAAGCATTTACTAGGTCTGTTTTGGTCTGTTGTAACTCTTTTTCTTGACTTTTCACAACAGTTGCTCTAACGGCGTCATAGGCACTTTGAACTGCCTGTCTCGTTGCTGCATCTGTTATTTTCGTCATATTTTGTGCTACTTCTTTTAACTCTTTGTCGAAACCTTCAGACTTCAGTTTCTTTCCAGATGAGAAGTCGTTCACTTGTTTCACCTTACTATGAAGAGCTTCGAAGGCGTTCTTAAAGTCAGCATTTGTTAAAGCTTCATTTGAACTGTCTTCATCCGCTTGTATTTTTGTCCTTATTGACCCTATGAGTTGGGCTGCTTTAGCGTTGGCTTGGGCATCTAACCAGTCATTGTTGGCTTTTATATATTCTGCGCTTTTCATTGCCTTTTGCATAGCCGCGTCGTTATTTTTACTTTCTTGTGCTAAGTTTTCATACTGTACGGTTTGGTTTTGCAACTGTAAAAGTTTTTCTGCCTTTACATTTGCTTCAACTTCTTTTTTATACTCATCGCTATCCATATATGTCTTCAGGGCTTTTTGTTTTATTTCTTCATCTTTCAGTACTTTATATTGAGTAGTATGGTTTTTCAAATTTATAACATCTTGTTCCATTTTTGCTACTTCTGCTGCTTTTTCTGACACTTTTTTCGCATATTCCTCTGTACTTAGTTCTTTCAGTTGTTCTTCTTTCTTCTTTTTCTCTACGTTTAACTCATTGAGTTTCTTTGTGTGTCTGTCATATTCTAGTTTCTTTTCGTTTTCACTTATTTGTTTCTGTATGTCTATGTTTGACTTTTTGACATCTGTTATTTGATTTTTGAGTGAACTCAAATTCATTTGACTTTGAGGGTTATAAGCTGTTCCGTCTGCAGCTCCACCATAGCCTGCCATTTTCGCTAAAAGTGCCGCTCTTAAACCTCCACTCTGTGCACCAATAACTCGGTTTAAAAGCATAGGGTTGCTTGACATTTGTTGCAACATAGTGGGGTCATTCAGCATTTGTTGTTGCAACTGTTGTTGTGGTGTCAGTTTTACTATTGGATGTTTCAATGCTCTCTTCCTCTTACGTATATTCTTACGTAGCTTACGTGGCATTTTAAGTGAAGTTAAAAAGCGGTTTTTGACAGATGTTTATATGACACTTTTTGTTCAGCACAAAAAACTACTCGGTCAACAGCGACGACTCTCAAAAACCGTTGTGTAAAAAGTTTTACCGTTGGACAAAAAAGTATATATAGAAAATAAAAAACGTTTATAGTTCATTCAATATTTGAGATGGAACGGTTTTCCAACGGTAACTATTAAATAAAATAAAAAAATAGAGGGGGTCTCCGTTGACGAAAACGGTTTATTTTAAACTTTTCTATGAGTAGTCCGAAAAAAACAGTTTATTTTTGTCTAATGGAAGGAAGAAAAAGTGTCGCAAACAATTCGTCGACTACCTCTGCAGTTAAAGTTCCTACAACTTATGTCTCACCATTCTCAAAACCCTTACAACCTCCTATAATACCAAAGCAACTTCCTCATACAATTGCAAACAATTCGTCGACTACCTCTGCAGTTAAAGTTCCTACAACTTATGTCTCACCATTCTCAAAACCCTTACAACCTCCTATAATACCAAAGCAACTTCCTCATACAATTGCAAACAATTCGTCGACTACCTCTGCAGTTAAAGTTCCTACAACTTATGTCTCACCATTCTCAAAACCCTTACGACCTCCTATAATACCAAAGCAACTTCCTCATACAATTGCAAACAAATTGTCCAACAATTTGAGTTCTTCTTCTCAAAACACAACAGATACAGCTCAGCCAACAGGTCAAGCAACAACAACTATCGGAACAGAAGCATTTTCAGAAGAAGTTCATACCAATCAGACTCCAATCGAACATACAGAAACACAACCACCCGAAAATACAGAAACACATCCAATCGAACATACAGAAACACATTCTGCAATGACCACTAGGTCGCAAACACGATATCTCGCCTTTTGCAAACAATTTAAGTCTCAAATTCAAGACACACAAGATAGCGACACTCCTCTTTCAGAGAAAGTTCGTAGAAAATACGCAAAGCAAAGGTTAGAATTGTTAGATAAGTTAAATGAACAGTGGGGTTCAGAAGACAATCGAGATTATAACGAGATGTTTCAAGCTGTCATGGATGCCATTCAGCCTCTTGAAAACGAAATCAAAGACCCTGGCGTACTTGTTGACATGTTTGCTTCATATTTACCCGTTACTGCCAATCTCATAGCGTTGCAAGCTATTGACCAGTTCATTCACTTGTTTCCAAAGAACTTGCAGAAGCATTTACAAGAAGTTAAAGTTGCTGAATTTGTCCGTTTATATCCAAATTCATACAATTATTTGGAAGAATTGAATGAACATGGTGAAAGGTCATTCTATTTATATTTCTACACAAAAGACAACCAGTCAAAACGACTATACTGCATTGAACCTATGCCTCAATTCGTAGACAATTTCCACGTTATAACAACTGTTGCTTTAGATATTCCTGCCAGAGTTCCATATGGAGGAACAGTAACTATCTCAAGCTTTCCCAAGGGCTATAAAGGAAAGCCTCTCACAATTGCAAAATTCACACACAGCAGTTGCCAATTTGTTCAAGATGTCGAGTTCCATTTCCTCAACAATACGACTTTCATCATAGAGACTCCTCAAGAAGGTATATACAAAGTTTTCATTGCAGGATTTGTTGATCCCAATGGCGAAGAAGAAGAAGTCGAAGAAATCCTCACCTCAGAGAGCGAAGAAGAAGAAAATTTCCAAGACATTCAAGATTCAGAATATACCGAATAAAAAAACAATTTAAGACTAAAAATTTAATTTTATTATAATATTTTATTTTTTTCATCTGGTCTTTGTCTCATTCCTCCTCTAGTTTCTTAGGGGCTAGAGGGCACGAAGTGCCTGGAAGCCCCATTCCCTTTTTTTTTTTTTTTTTTTTTTTAATTGAAAATGAACAGCAAGAAAATATAGAATATTTAAATTCAAAAATTGATAATTTAGAAAATACATGGGAAACAATAAGAATTACCGAAAAAGTGACAAAACATCAAAAACAGGGAGGGGTCTCAATTTTTATTACTTATATTATTTTACAATATTTATATAAATACTCTTTATAATATATTTTACTATAAAATTATACCTCAAATTCAAATATTTAAAATATTATTTACATAATTGTCTCAAAATGGGTGCGGGACAAATTTGCCAACTGTCACTTTTTCAATAACCTTAAATTACGCTTTTCTAATTTTAAAAATAACCTTAAATTATATTTGAAGAAATTATGTCTATGATATATGTTTTATTCTAGAATCTTGGAGTTTTCATGCACTACACAAGAGTTAGTATACATATCAAGGGTACGGCGGCACTGCGCGCCTCCTTACCCATGATATGTGAATTTGACACTTTACAAAACCGTTAACGTATATTTTACAACACAAACGACAACACTAACTTAACCTTAAATATTTACAAAGCCACCAACCACTTCACCTCACTAATGTAAAAAAATAAACGTTCTCACTTACAAAAGTATTGCAACTCCTCCCATTGCTGTGCTTCATATAACAGCTCATAATCTTCTGACTCACTTTCTTCTTCATATAGGTCAAAATCACTGTCAAAATAAATGTTAGTAAGTTTTGACAAAGCTAATGAAACACGCTTACCGTTTGTATCATATGCTTGTATAAACTTTCCATTATGCTTGTAGTCATAAACGCTCAAACTAATTTTACCCTTTCTCCCTCGTATCTGATAGAATGTATTTTCACGAGGAACGAAGAACAAATTCTTGAACTCATGACCGTTGTAGTTTGTTATCTCAATAGTTTTCGTCATTTATATAAAATAAAAAATAAAATAAAATAAAAAATAAACTTAAAAATAATGATATCACCACCCTCACACGTATGAAAACATAGCACAAAAATAAATTTAGGTGAAGTGGTGAGATCTCACCTCTTTTTTCACCTGTTTTTTCACCCTGTTGAATTCATTGCTTTATAACTCTCTTCCTTTCTCCAACTCTTCTAACTTCTTCTTAAGTTCAGCAATGTTGTCCTCATGAAGTTTAATCTTTCTCAAAATTCCTTCTTTATCTAATGGTTGCTTTATCTTTCTAAACTGAACTCTACCATCCTTCATAGTATGAATGTAAAAACCTTCTGGAATAGTTCCTGATTTAATGTATTCTACCAAAAACTTTTGTTTCATTGCTTCAGTGACTTTAGTCGTCATTTCAATCAAATAAAAATTTTAATATTAAATAAAAATAACGTTATTTTTCAGTAAGGAAACGCAGGAGTTTTACGATTTATTTGAGGAGTAGGTTCTGGTTTAAATGTTGGAGTCGGTTTAGGAGTTGACTTTTGAACAGGAGTTTGTACTTCCATAGGTTCAGGAGTCATTGAAGGTTTTGCTTGTGAAGGCGTTGGTTTTGACGTTGGTTTTGGCGAAGGTGTTGGAGTTTGTTTAACTTCAGCTACTTCAGTATTATTTACAACATTTGCTTTATTTCTTTTCAACATCATAACTGCTCCTGCTGTAGCTAGCAAACCTAGTGGGAGACCATATCTTATATAAGGACTTGACCAAATGCTATTTTTGACAGGAGCTGGTGGAACACCTAACCTTGGTGAGACTGCTCTTTGCCATTGTGCAGCTCGTAAGAAATATTCAATAGGTGCTCCATAATCGTTTGGTAAAGTTTGTTTCATAGATGGTGAAGGTTCACGAGAGCTTGATGAAGAACTCATTTATAAGCTTTAAAAATAAACGTTCATCCTTTATTCCTCACCGTCGTCCGTAGCTAAGTTATAGTCATCTAATCTTATTATTGGGATTCCATTAGCACGCACCTGAATGGCAAAGCAACAATCCCTCATAAATCCAATAAGTGGCTTTGGTACATTTTCAGTTGCTAGTTCAATAGGTCCTTTAACAGACAATTTGTATGTTATTGGAGCAGTAGATGTTTGACCTTGCTGGAAGCAAAAGTCCACTTCTGTTGGAAAACCACATAAGAAATGTGTGTTGTCATAGCTATCCCATTTATGTTCCACACTACCATCATCCACCAATGACCTCATAACATCTTCATTAAATCCTATCATATCATTGTTTGTATTGCAGGCGTTCGCAACCATTTCATAAAATACAGGTCCATATGATTTTTCAGGTTCTGCAGGCATATTTCCATAAGCTCCCATGGAAAGCTGAAGATATTTAAACTTAGGGTTCTCAAAATTAACATAATAGTTGTCTTTCTTTCTAAATAGTGCCCAAATACTTTTAACATTAATAGGCGTATAAGCTGCTGTAAATGTTGCACTTGAACTATCTGTATTCTTTGAGAATGAACCGTCCATAGGAATCCAATCCATAACTTTAACAGGAAAACATAAAGCCTCGTTTGTATAATGTTCTACAAGTTCTGTATAAATGTTAGGGTCTAAAGAGAATGACTTTGGATGAATGAAACATTCATTAAAATCCATCTTTGTTCGAAATAGTTGCTGGGTTACAGTTGTAATAGTAACTGTTCCACTAGCTTCTACTGCCTTCGTTATCATAGTGAATGGTTCATTCCATGGAACAAATTTATTTGTCGGTGGATTTGAATCTGAAGCAAATGCAACTTTAAGAGTTGGATTGAAAGCAATGATATCATTTACAGATATAGATGTGCATTGTAAGGCGTCGTTACTGAACTTTACTTTAAGCTGAATGTTTCCTGCAAAAGCTGGAATAAATCGAATAGCTTCTAATGGAAGGAATCTTCTAACAGGAATTCTTAAACGAAGCTTAAAATCAAATGATTTTCCTGCTGTAATTGGGCCACTAACAATTTGTCCTGTTCTGCATGTTCCCGAATGACTCCATACATCTTCATGTCGAGTCTTTGAGAAAACATCTACTTTCTTTATTTGTTCGGTAGTTTGTGAGTTTGAAGTTATATATGCTTCTTCTCTTGCGTTGTCTTGAGAATATACGATACGACCATTTGCAAGGATTTGATATCCAGCAACTGCATAGAAAGCGTCATCGAAACCAATCCAAAATCCTGGTGGGTTTGTTTTATTGGAACCTGAACCAATTTCTTTATCTACAATAAATTGACCTTCCATTTTATACGTAATGAATGTATTGTAAAGGTCCAACATATTTTCACCAGGAGGTGAGAGATTGAATGTTACCCATGTGTTATCTTTAGCAGTTCCAGGTTGTGATGGAATCTTTGCGTCAGAATATTTTCTATTAGTGTCACCAATTTGAACTGCATTGTCTATGATATCGAAATATGAGCGAATCTGATGAATATGCTCTGCTGGAGTAAATTCGTTTAGCTGTTCGTTCTGCATGTATTTACTTCGGATAAAAATATCTATTTACTTCATTATTCTCACTCTTCTTCTTGACATTCGTGGTGGAAGTTGTTTCTTGACATTTTCAATGAACTGTACATTCTCTTTTGTCTCAACTTCTTTCACTGGTGGGTCAGGATTCTTTGACTCGGTTTGTTTTTCAATGAAATTCACGAACTTCGCAATAAGCTCTTGGTTCGTTATTGAAAGTACATCTGGCTTCTTTTCTTCTGGTTCTATTGACTTTTCAGTTTGAATAGAAGGCTTAACACGGGCTTCACCCTTGTCATACACCTTAATGTTGTCGCTCTCTGTATTCGCTAATGGAACCTTTCTTTTTCTTACATATATTTTACCATCTTTACTCTGACTTACATAATAGAAAGGATGTTGTATTCCTCTGGCGTCATTTAATATAATAGACTCTCGCTCTGATTTTGACAAGCTCATTTTACATCGGTTAAAGTTTTAATTTTGTTTTTTATCTGCAGTCAAATGACTCAGACAAGCCCTACAGACAAGACCCAAGGGGTCATAGATGTTGAAGCATTGAAGAAAGAAATTCGTGAGCAAATTTTATCCGAACTGAAGGAACAAAAACAAGAACAAAAGCCAGAGAGACCAAAGAGAAAACTTAGTGAAAAACAACTTGCTGCATTAGCTGCTGGAAGACAAAAGAACCCACGTTTGCTGGCGAAGAAAGCTAGAGAAGAAGCTGAAGCAAAAGCAAAAGAAGCAAAAGCAAAGAAAGAGTAAATGGTTTATTTTTATCCGAATTAAATGTATAGACAAATACCTTTATCTGTTGCGTTCAGTAGTGAAAACCCTGACGTCAAAATAAAGGGGAACAGAGTAACGTTTAAGTTTCCAACAGACTGGATTGTGAACATAAATGAAGAGAAGTACATTGGCATAACATCTATGTATATAACACGTGCTTTCAGAAAGGTTGACTTTATACTTCAAGTCGAGATAGAAAATGACGAACAGTCTTTAAGCGCCCAAAACATTCACATATACAAATACTTTAAAGACGATACAACATTGCAACAATGTATGATTTCATTTAATGAGATGTTCGAGAAAAAGTTTAACATTGAAGTACAAACTTTACAGCCTTTACGTGAGTTTCTTGCACAACTGAAAGAAGAAGGTAGTCAGCCACAACTTATAGACTTTCATTATGAATTTAATGAAAATGAAGATGGAACTCATGACTGTCAATTCATTGTATTCTCACCATTCAATGAAGTCGCTAAAAAGAAAGAAAATCCATTACGTATAAGATTTCAAATCTCTGAACCAAGTGATGATTTCAAGAATGTTTTCAATTATGATGCAATGCTTCCGAGGAAAAATGAATTTTCCGAAATTAGATTTCCAGGTATTTGGGATAGAAAGCAAGCTATATTATATTCAAACTTAAGTAAGGGAGTTGAAAATGAGTTCATTGGTCATACAAGAACTTCACCACTTCCTAACCCTAAATACTATAAATTAACTGGATTCAATCGTGAGTTTTGGATAGACATGTTCTCCACTCATGACCATAAAGCACCTGTTTTGCTACCTCCAGACCATAAGGACTGTCTCTACATTGAAGCACAACTCTTAAACTCTACCATCGCAGTATTGTAAAATCTACGCTAGCGGCTTATTTTTATCACGAATGACCTCATTGCTGACAAAAATAAATGACCTCAGAACTTCAACTTACGAATAAAGCTTGTTTTAGTCGTTATTGAGAAGTTAAACTTCTCTTCAAAGCAAGGTTGACATGACTTACATAAGTCAAATCCAATCTCTTGACCGTCATAAAGTGCTTTGTAAAGTTTCATTAAACTGAACTCAGAGTTTTTGTCATATGTTCCAACAGGTATGTGAATGTTCTTATCTTCATTGTAATAGCATTGTATAGCTTCAGGAAACATTTCATTAGCTGTTAAAGCAAGAACGTCTTGTTTTACACCTTTACAACGTGCATGGAATGCAACTTCATTTAAATCATTCGTGAGTAAGTCTATGTAAGTCTTCTTTCCACAAAATATTGACTTGTATGCTAAACTTTGTTTTCCAGGTGTTATTTCTGCGAAGTCAGAATGAAATTGACCAAGGTTCTTTCCTATAAGTTCTCTACCGTATCTCTTCTTAAACTCTGCTGCAAGCTTTGGTATGTCTTCATTGAAAATATGCATGCTATCGCAGTCCTGATAAAATATTTGAAGACCCATATCTTCAGCAGTACAGAATACTTCACACATTATTCTCTTCGACATTGACAGAATATTAACACCAAGTGGACAGAAGTTAAAGTGTCTGCAAATGCTTTTCGTTAGCTTGAAAATAGTTTTATCTGAACCATCCAAACCTTCGAACTTCACTATATGGTTGTAGTTTCTGATGGCATATCTTATAGCATCTTTGTCATTTACTATGGTTATTTTTGACTCAATAGGAGATAGAATAGTTTTGCCATAAATACTGTTCAGAATGAGCTTTATATTTTCTTGCAAAGGATTTCCTTCTTTCTTATACTTTAACCTTAACTCAAACAACTTCTTTACTTCATCTCTTATTCTAATATCTCTGTTTCCATCGTAATAGTATCCTTGCAACACTTCACATTTGACACCTTGATATTTTATGAGGTCTTGTAATGTTATATGGTCAACATACATTAAACAGCAAGTGTTTGAACTTCTGGGAACGTTAAGTTCTGGATTTAGTTCAGGGTCACAAACTATTAAAGGAAAGTGTCTATGTATTCCAATCTCTGTTATCTTAATGAGAACAAAGAAGCCAGACATAAACTTTTCACCAATGGGTTCCTTTTGGTCGTCATCGAATAAATGTCTCATGAGATACTCTGTGCTTAACATTTCTTTCTTCATAACCTTTGGAATACCTTCTAAAGTATAAAGTCTTGCTATAGCGATGGATATAATGAAACAGCGTCGAAGTCAGCAATGAGTTTCTTTTCGCTCTTTTGTTTAATGTTATCTGACAGCATACATCTTCCACCTTGAATACAGCGTGAAATAAATTCTCTTGGTTTATTTGAGAGGTCATATAAATTTCCATTCGGGAAGTACACTCTGTTCTCAAACAATTTGTTAGCAATAGAACAAATACTAACGTAGTCATAAACGTTTAAATCAAATTCTTTCAATATGTCATTGCGGAACTTAACAAAACCTTCTCTTAAAATTCTTACATCTTGTTTGCAATAAAATGTGCTATACTTTTCTAAGTCGAAGTGGTTCTCATCTATTCTGCAACCTTTGATGGAATCTATGTTTTTCATGAATGTATCTGCATCCCGGATAAACTTACATGCTTCAGAAATGACACCAGTTCTGTTGTCATTTGCTAACAAAACACTGCTGTAGTAGTTGTATGGAAATACTTCTTTCGGTCCTGTTTGTAAGTTAAACATAGCAGGAAATAGTTTAAGCTTCTTATTTATAACACTGTAAGAGTCTTTTATAATAATTGCCCTTCCTTTATATAAGCCAGTTATTTGCATTGTTCGTGAACCTTTAATGATGGGAGTTCCTTTCACTTCTGTCATGTGTCTTAAGATGAAGTTTATATCATAACTGAGGTTATGAAAATATATTAAACTCTTGTCAGGAAGTCGTTCCAAAAATTCTGTTGCACAGTTCTGACCCCAAATGCTTTCACTCACTGAACCATCTTCACTGTCGTAACATATGTTAAAAGCTTTATGAAAGCCGTCTGTGCTACACTCAAAGTCAGCAAAGAAAACGTGCTCAGGAATGAACTTGCACTTATTTTTATTTACTTCTTTTGACTCGGCTTTCTTCTTCAGTTGTACACAATACTTTGGAGCATATGTCAAATCTTTAAATGGTGCAAGGTTCTGTTTATATAAGTCAGTCGTATATGTGAAAAGTTCTCCATAAGAAATAGGTTCGAAATATTTGCACTCCCACAATGTTTTCATAACATCCCATAGTGGTGTTGTTCTATCATAACGAACTACATATTTGTTCTCTCTCTTTGTATAAATCTTCATTTGTTTCTCAATGTTCATTCCACCACAAGCTTTGAGAATTTCTTTGTAATTTCTGACGAAATATGTTGTCATTGGTAATCTTTCATTTAGCATGTAGTGGTCTTCAACAAGAAGTAAGTCAATAGTTCTAACAGTTTCACATTCTTTTGGTATGTATCTCTTTATTTCATTATGTCTTGAGTCATTGAAGTAACCAATGGTAACATTAAATGCTATACCTGTTGCGTCAGAAATTTCTTGTACTTTACTTTGAGGAAAGTCTCTAACACGAATGACTTCTCTCATGTGGTCAATAGTTTCTTCATTTACTCCAGCCTGAATGCAAGCATAAACGAAACAATTGTCCTCTGTCATAAGTGTTGCAGTTCTTTTGTTCAGTTCATTGAAGATTTGGTAGCGCTCAAGATTTATAGGTAATGTGCAAAGATACTTCCAGAACTGACCGCTTCTCTTCTTATAAAACTTCTTTTCACCATTATCTTTCCAAAAGCTTTCTATAAGTGCTGGGTTTCCTGTTTGCTTAAGAGCTTCCAAAATGGCTTTCTGGTCATTTGTCAGTGTGCTTTCATCTCTATATGGTCTCTTTTTTGGTTTGCCTTTCTTTACATCTGACATCGTTAAGCCTTCATATTCTGTTAAATCATACATCTTTATTTCGGTAAGATTCTTTATGTTTGTCAAGAAGAAGTCATAGTGCATTTCAACAATACCTGCAGCATTTGCTTCTATCTCTGATATAAAGTTCTCCTTCAAGAGCTGATGTAGTAATGTTCCAATATTATTGAGGTTTAACGTAGAACATTCATACTTTCCACCAAGTTTATAACATACCATCCATCTCTGTTGTGAGTTTATTTTAATTTTCTCTAAGAGTCTCATGAAAACCTTACCGAAATGTTTGTGTAAGTAGTCTCTGTTTGGTTCATCTAAAGCTTCGATGTTAAAGTCAATGAGTCTATTGCCTGACTTCACATTTCTCTTCCTATTCTCTTCATCTTTCTTTAACCATCTCTCACCTTCTTTTGGTTTGTCGTCAATGGAACGAATGACATCGTTAGCTTTGCGAACTTGTTCTATAGCACTTTTAAACATCTCTCTTCTCTGTTGTTTCAGTGTGTCGTCTCTTCTTCTTGTTTCACCAACGTTTGCATTTGTTATGTCAAACATTTCTCTTCTTACTTCATGAGGTACTGAACGTCTATGATATAAGTCAATAGCAACGTCATTTAAAGGAAATGCTCTTGCATGGACTTCGTCCTCGCCGCGTTGCAGCTTTATGAACTCATGAATTCTATCATAACTTATTGCACCATTATAGTCATTGAGGATGTCAGAGAGTGCTTTTTTGTTTGTTGCGTAATGTTTTGCTACTTCTATGTTAGCTTCTGTAAGAAGTTGTTTTATTTCCGAGTGTTCTAACTTAGACAACTTCCGATACATCTTTAGTAGGAAATAAAAAAATATTTTTGAAAAAATTAGATTAGATTTTTTAAAGTTATTTTTCAAAATAATTTAATATTTTTATTTTAATGAAACACATGCAAGATTGCAAGTTCTTTTCATACAATGCTCTCGCTACTGCCATCAAGAATGAGTTCAATAATGCTTCAAATGTTAATGTTATCTTTAACAAGAAGTTTGTGAAAGAATCTAAGTTTGGCCAGTATGTCAGACCATTAGCTATCGTCATTGACCGCAAACGTTATACTTCACAAGAGTTAGCAGTAGTTTTGAAACAAAAGAGTTTCTTCGTGAATGTCAAAGATACTCATTATACTGTTATAAAGAACTCTAATATTGACTTCTTCAGTATTGCTTTAAATCTTTCCGAACAGAAAGAATATAAGAAGGGTGAAACAAATGTGAAATATTATCCTTCATCTCTGAAGACAATAACGAACAAAGATGTTATACAGAAATTCTTACCAAAGGTTGAAGAAGCTTCTATTGACATTGACGAAGGAAGTGAAATGGTTGAAGAAATAGACCCTGAAGCTATTTAAGCAAAAATATATTTTTGGTTAGTCTTCATATCGATATTTTACAACAATTCCCCAATGTATAAACTTTTCATACGCTTTTTCATAAGCTTTATATACCTTCAGAAATTTTGCATAATCTTTAGAAGCATTTAGATATTGTTTAAATGCTTTGTATGTCTTCAGAAATTTTGCATAATCTTTTACATGTTGTTCGTTCTCTTCTTCTGTCATGAGTTCCGAATATTCTAAATTCATGTTCTTTCATATGAGATAAAATTTTATAAAAAAATAAAATTAGCTTAGATTTTTTTATTCTTCCTCTTTGAAGTTATCGAAATATTCTGTTATTTTTTCCTTCAGTAATGTTAAGTCTTCTTTGAATGTAAGTATTGTGCAACCTTTGATGTCATAGTGTGTTTGAGGAAGAGTATTTTTGACAATTTCCTTTATTTGTTCATTCGGTGTCATTGAAATCGGTAAGTTTTCACGATAGAACCAGTTTCTGTCAGATTTGTAAATCTTAGCTAAGTCGTAAAAGCTCTTGTTGTTTCTTCTGACTAAATGCAACATAACCATATCTTTATCTTCTTCATTTTCCATCTCTTCAGTGTAAATCATATACTTATAACTCTTTTCCTTTCCTTTTGGTACTGAACGTGGTATTCTTTTCTGAATGCTTTTGTCTTTTGCTTCATCTTTTGCTTGAAGTTTCTTTTCCATCTCTTCACGTTCTGCTTTATATAGTTCATCTAACATCATGAAAATATAACAAGCATAACGAGGTGAAGCCCACATTGCTACAGCATTTACTAAAAGTCTATGAATATAATAACCTTTCAAACCAGGAGCCAAATTCTTGCGATTTTCATACGGAATCTCTTCCCCCGGTTTTCCGAGGGAAGCAATCATATGAGGAAATTCTTCTAAAAGTTCTTTTGTCTGTTGGTTTTCAAACCAATGATATGCTTGCTTTGTAGAACGAAGAGCGTTCATTATACTTTGCATTTGGTACATATCGTCTTTGACTGAACGAATGAGACGTAACTGTTTGTTATACTGTATGTACTCGTATTCTTCATTTATAGCTTCATGGACTATAACTGTTGTTGTGTTCTCTAATGTTGTCATTACTGTCTTTACATACAAAATAAAAAAAATAAATAAAAATAAAATTAGCGTGATTTTTTCTGAGATAAACACTATTTCTTCACAACATTAAATTTTATCCTGTATGAAATGACTTTAAAAAGATTATTGACTGACTTCGAATACTATCTCATTGACGCACTGACAGACCCTCAAAACTGTGTTGAAAGTTCTTTAAGCTTTAAGATTGAAGGTACGACGCATTTTGTCTTCACTTACGTATTGAAAGAATATGACCGTTATCATAACGAAGTGAATCAAACACTAATAAAATTTGTAGATAAAAAATTGGTTAACAATGAATATTTTAAAACTGAAGGCCCAAACACTGCTGGAGATGATGAAGAATACAGACAAGTTATTGAAAAAAATAACGCAAGATTAGATGCAATAGAAAAGAAGTTTAATGAATGTCTTACAAACACGTATGAATATCTTATGCGGTGGGAAGCCAGATGGAGATAAATTTACGTCAAATATGCAATTTATAAAATCTTATGTCGACAGGCTACGTAGCACAGTGGTCTAAGGTGGTGTTATGGAGGGGTCAGGGTCTGTGGTTCGAACCGCGACGGCGCCGTATTTTCTTATTTTCTTTGTTTGTCTTGTTTGTCGTGAATAAAAAGTGTCATAAAAGTGCTCTATCTTCCACGGGAATAAATAAAAAATTTACTTTATTTCTTCTTTATTTCTTTGTTCCCGTGGATGAAGGGTTTTGCTGTTTTTTTCTCAGCCGAAATCAATGATTTTTTCATTTTTGGAATCCTTAGCGAATGAGGAATCTTTTCTCTCGTGGAAGCTTTGACCAAAAATATAATTGAGGTGAAGAGGTGAGATTTCACCCGTTTTTTCACCTCTTTTTTCACAAGCGTTTTACATGAATTGTACGATGTATATTTGAAATCCTAAACAATTTCGTAGCTTCTATTTCTTCTTTTAGTACATCGAATGTTTTAACAATGCCGAAGGTTTCTTTCTACTTCTTCTTGACGTCAGACAGAAGGAAATCGTCAGCAGTTGGATAGTTTTTGTTCAGAAATGACAGCATGTCCATTTTATCTTCTGCTGGCTTTTCTGCTTCTTTCTTTAAGTCTGCATAGTCGTTTCGCATTCTTTCTATCTCTTTGACTGAGTAGTTATATTTTCTTATTGCTGCTTTACATTTTGAACATTGCGGATTCATTTTTGCGTTATACATTGAAATAAAACCAACTAAAACAACTAAGGCGTCAATGGTTTTCTTTAAATCTGAAGCAGTTGGTTTTATCTGTTCATGCCATACCTTACCTCTTCTATCTTTATCTCTTATCTGCCATACACATTTTGCAGCTAATGAAACAAAGTTGTCGTATGTCTTAAACTCCCCCGATTTATATATGTCAGAGATGTTCTTATATACCATGTCGCAATCTTTGTCCATAACTTTATGGTTGCAATGATATCCTAGAAACTCATAGTTTACTTTACGTATGAACTTCTTTATTTCTACTGAGTCAGTTGCTTTGACTTCAATTTCGTCGAATTCATGAATAGTGAGTTTTTGTTGTTGGATTTCAGGTAGTTTAGGCAAATGGTCGATGAGGTCCTCCATTTCATAAAGATACTGTTCATTTGTTTCATCTTTCGCACTACAGTCTAAATTACTTGTTAAAAGTTCTTGCTTTATCTTCTGGATTTCTGTTTCGAAAGTAAATGAAGAAGGAATGAAGCTTTTCATTTCTACTAACATTGACGTAGGATTCATGACTAACGAGTTTGGTGCTGTAGTTGTGGACAGAGTCCCGCCGTTCGTGGCTTGAATTGTTGTTGTGCCGATTGTTGAAATCATATCTTTTATACAAAATAAAAAAATAAATAAAAATAAAACTAACTTTATTTTTTCTATCTTAAGGAAATTCATGAAAATTCGTGAGACCCAAAGGGTCTGAGCCGCTAAGCGGCGAGGGTGAAAAAACAGGTGAGATCTCACCTCTTCACCTAAACATTATTTTTGGTGTAAATTTATGAAAACATTAATAATACATGACTGTTCTCATTCATGTCTGATTTACATCTAATGAAAAAGTTTAGAAGAATTTTCTTATTCTTTCTGGCTTATTTTTGTCTTTCCAGTACTCCCGCTCTAATGGTCCCAGATGTGTTGGCTTTGACTCTCTCAAGTTCTTAGATGGTATAACATCTTCAACGCCTCCTTCATATCTTACTTTATAAGTGTCATCGTTTATGTTGTAGCCAAGTATTTCAATAACCACTCCTCGCTTTGCTTCGTCAATGGTTTCAGCAAGTTTGCCATTACTACTTTCGACTAATTTGTGACGAGGGTAAAACGCAATAGAGTCGTCAGCAGCTTTTATAAGATATCCATTACCTTGCGTAGAGTCTACGATATAATAGTTTCTACTTAACCTTAAACGTTTCTTTGTCAACGGTTTGTCGTCAAGAACTACACGAACTTTTGTACCAGGAATGAGGGTAAATTGTGTTGAATTTCTGATATTTTGTGTTTGGCTTCGTTTCTTTTGTATATACTTTTCTTTTGTTGTTGTGTCATTGAATTTGGTGTATGTCCTGTTGTAGAATGTGTTGAGGAATTATATACTTCGAGAAAATGTTTCATTGCTTCTTCGGTAAAGTCTCGCTCTTGGTTTAAATCTCTGAGCGTTCTTATGAAGCTGTTTATGATGCCGAGTATGTTATGGTTATGGTCTTCAGTAGTGTAGTGAGTTATGTTATGCTTAATGAGAAAATCTGTGATTTCATTGCTGAGGTATGCACTGTCTTGGTCTGATGTTAAAGTACTTGGGCTATGTTCTGCTACAAACTTTTGTAAAACTCTTAACACTTCACGAGTTCCTTTATTTTTCATTGGATATGCATATGCTTTGCGAGTGTTAACATTAATGAAGATGAGGAATGGTTTATGTCCTCCTTTTCTGCTTTGAATGAGAGTGTCAAATTGGTATGCGTCAGGAGTGTTGGAGTAAATTGGTAAAAAGTAGTCGTAAGGGTTTATTTTTGTTTGATGTACAACATTTTTGTCAAAGAACCTTTTCACTTCAGCTCTGTTAGTAAATCCCCAACTCTTTGCAGCTTCATTGAACTTCTTAAATGACCTCCACGGTGATGATTCGAATACTTCTTTCAAGCTCATTTATGTAAAGTTAAATTTAGTAAATTTCATGCTGTTCGCTCTTTTGGAGCTCAGGACTTTCAGTCCGTTCTAACCCATGCATAAACTGTCATATAAGGCGGCATATAATCTGCACCCGAACCTGTTGGATTTGTTGTGAAAGTGTGTGAATGATTTCCTGTGGTTCCACAGAAAATACCTGCGCTTGAATCTACTGGGTCACTTGAAATATCATATCTATTCATTCCCTGTCTATCCGAACCTGCTGCAAGATTTGTATAACCTCTTTTTGTTATTGAATGTGAATGATTACCTGTTGTGTTTGTAGTTCCTGTATGAGTGTGCGGTGGAAGGTTTGCTTCTTTAATTTTCTTCGATCCTCCTGTTTGCTTTGAATATCTAGCACAGTATAAGAATTTATCTACAATCTGCTGCCACGTACCAAAACCTAAAACACTTGCCGGATTTGTTGAATTCATTGACGTATAAATAGAGCCTATAGGATATAATGTTTGAAGTATTTCAGTCTGTAATGTTTGAAGCTCTGTTTTGTCTGCTTTCTTATCTAACATTGTTGGTAGTTCATATGCTTCAAAGTTTCTGGCATGATCTTCGATATTCCTGCAACTGTTATCTAAATTGTTAAGAGTATCTTTTACGCTTGTACTTGGATTCTCTAAAGGTACACTTGAACCCAAATCATAGTTCAATATTATGTCGTCTGCTCTAACAGTAGTGAAGGAGTTATGTGTATGTTCTTTATCTGCTTTTTTATCTAACATTGCTGGTAGTTTATATGTTTCAAAGTTTCTGACATGACCTTCAATGTTCATACATTTACTATTTAAGGAGTTTAGTGTATCTTTTACGCTTGTACTTGGATTCTCTAAAGGTGCACTTGAGCCAAGGGTATAGTTCAATATTACATCGTCTGCTCTAACAGTAGTGAAGGATTCATGTGTATGGTTCTTGTCAGCTTTACTATTTAATGTAGCTTGAAGTTCATTTATATCGGAGATATTGTGTTTATGAGATTTCAAAACTTTGTTCGTTGCGTCAAGTTCATCTTTGTCAGCTTTACTTTTAATAGCATCTTCAAAAGTTATTTTTGCCTTAACTCTCAAAGTAAATCTTGGTTCAACTAATACACCGTTAACAAAGAAGTATGAAGCATAAATTTCATTGTTATAACCAAATGCTTCTGGTGCTTTACCTGTGTCATACTGTACAGTACAGTGTATGTCATAACCTTTAGCACGAATGAATTTATATCTTCTTTCATTAACATCTTCAGTGCTTATTTGTTCATCCTGTGTTAAATATCCATGGTAGTCCGTTATAATCTGTTCGTCTGAACTTATATAATGAACATGGTTTTTATCTGCTTTTTCGGCTAATTTCTCTTCTATCTCATTTATTTCAAGTTCATGCCTACCACCACCTCCTTCAGAAGTATTTTTCTTCAGCTCTTGAAGAACGTCCACTTCGCCATCTTTGGTGTCAATAATGAGACTTTGAGTTAAAACCTTTCCTGTCTTAATGGATGTTTGTAAAACTTCTTCTTCACCGTGTTCGGGGTCATGGTCGTCATCATATCTTGTGAAATCAGAGATGTTGTCATACATTAAGCATATCTGTCTCAAAAGTTCTGCTATTTGAAACTGGAACGAAAGATATACAGAACTTTCATCATCTCCTAAAGTCAAGTCTGCTTTCTTAAGTATTTCTTGAATGTATGCAATGAGGACAGAGTATCTTGGAAAATATTCGAACAATATTTCATTAGCTGTTGGTTTTGGTGGTTCTTCTGGAGTTTCTGTTGTTTCAGTTCCTTCTATAGGTTCTGTTGGAGTTTCTGCATCTCTTGACTTCAATGCTCTTGCTCTCAAAGACCTAAATGTTAGAGCACCAGGTTTTACAAAGGACTTTATAAATGCTTTAATAGTTCCTGGTAAGTTATTGTTAGCATTAAGTAAGTTCCTTATGCTTCCATCATGTACGTCCATAGCACTATGTAAAAAATCTATACTTTTCTTGTAGTCAGCAATAGACTGACTGTGATTTTTTAAAGATTTGTCAATACCTTTAAGCCAATCTTCATGCATGTCTGATACTGAGCCAAGAATATCATTTGCTTCCTTTAGTGTATTTTGTGCTTCTCGTAAAGTATCCAATCCCGTACGTGCATTGTTTGCTATACGTCTTACAGTATCTATTTGACTCCTTGTTTCTTGCATCCAACCAGATAAAGTTTTAATAGTATCAGAACCATTTGAAATGAAGTTCAAAGCATTTTTAACGTCATCTAAAACTTCTTCACCAAGTACTGCCCATATCTTTCCGATTTGGTATTGAAGAACTCCATATGAAGCAGCTGTTAAACCAGTATTTATAAGGTTCCATATCCATGATTTAGCAGTTTTTCCATCCTTTTCCATCTTCACCATCCAAACCGTTTTCGCCTTGAGGTCCTTATATTCCTTGTATTCCTTGTATTCCTTGTGGTCCTTGAGGTCCAGTGTCACCCTTCTCTCCTTTCAGTTCATCTTTATATTCGTTATAATATTCTAATGTCATAAGGTGTACATCATTACTGCTACCAGCAACGCCGAGAATTTGTTTCTCATTTATGACTAAATTCTTTAGGCATTTAATGTTGTCGTCAAATCGAAAGCTCTTTAACAATTCAATGAGAACATTTAATACTTTCACTAATGAGGCATCTACTGTAGAATTTATATATTGCACCGTTCCATCATTTATGATAGGAACTTTACTTGTTGTAATGAATGGGTCATAAGTGTTAAAAGTATCGAAATCAATGACTTTTTTAGTCTTTCCATCGTCAATGACTAAATCATTGCCTTCAATGGTTAAAGTTGAGTTTTCGTTTACTAGTTCATGTGCTCTTCTTGCTTCATTTGTTTCATACGCATATGCAGCAATAGTCATATTTTAATGAGAATAAAATGTTGTTCTATTTGCAAAGTACAGACCCAAACGAATACGGGACAGTAAAGCTACAAACAAACTTAGGTCTTCAGAATGAAGCGTTTGCTTTCAGAGTTGTTGACTTCAATACTATCGCAACTTTTGTCATAACAGATGAAACAGATTTCATAGAGATTGAAATAGATGACAAAAGAAGTGTTATAACATTTCCTAACAGAGCTGGGTATAGAATAGATAAAATTGCTGGAGTCATAAATACTCTCATAAATGAAGAAACTATTGACAACATAGATGTCGAACTCTCTTCTGAGGGAACATTGAAGTTCAGCAGCGAGAAAG